AAAAAAAAAAAAAAAAGAAAAGAAAATGGGTACCAAAACATACTCTTAAAAAATCCATTTTCAGAATTGAGAAATGCTCTTCTGCTTGGTGCCAGCATTTTATACCATCGTTGAAGGCTCAGGGTCAGTCCATGAATGGATCTTGCACTATGGTGGCAGGGACAAGTTTTCTGAATTTGTTTTAGAAATCGGGAACTGGGATGACTTTGGGGTTTTGTTGAAAAGTAGAATCACCTTTTGTTGAAAAGTAGAAGCTGCATTCTAAGTGGAAAGGGGACAAATTGGGCTGCAAATTAATTCTGAAGTGATGCATTTGTAGTCTCTAGAAGGGCACACTCAGGCTGAGTGCAGTGGCTCACACCTGTAATCCCAGCACTATGGGAGGCCAAAGTGGGTGGATCGCTTGAGTCCAGGAGTTCAAGACCAGCCTGGGCAGCATGGCAAAACCTTGTCTCTGTTAAAAATATAAAAATTAGCCAGGCATGGTGACATGCACCTGTAATCCCAGCTACTTAGAGGGCTGAGAAGGGAAGATCACTTGAGCCTGGGAGGCCAAGGCTGCAGTCTGCCGAGATCATGCCACTGCACTCCAGCCTGGGTGACAGAGTGAGACCCTGTCTCAAAAAACAAAAAAATACCCAATAAGGCTGGGTGCAATGGCTCACGTCTGTAATCCCAGCACTTTGGGAGGCCGAGGTGGGCAGATCACAAGGTCAAGAGATTGAGACCATCCTAGCCAACATGGTGAAACCCCCTCTCTACGAAAAATACAAAAATTAGCCAGGTGTGGTGGCACGCACCTGTGGTCCCAGCTACTCGGGAGGCTGAGGCAGAAGAATCGCTTGAACCCAGGAGGCGGAGGTTGCAGTGAGCCGAGATTGCGCCACTGCACTCCAGCCTGGCGACAGAGCAAGACTCCGTCTAAAAAAATAAAAAATAAAAAAAAAAATAAAAGGCCACATTCACAGGGGCCTTCTGAGGTGGTGGTGATGGCCTGACACATGCTGCCTCACCATGGACTTTTCTAAAGGAAGCCAAAGGCTTCTGCTTGGATCATTCAATCTAGAGAGCCACAGGGGACCCCCTTCTGAAAGAGGCTTAGATCTGTCTTTGAGCACTCCTTGGATGGGACAGAGTTGGCCTATAGGAAGGAAACACCTGATGCTGCCCCCAGCCCCCAGGGTAATGTTCTCAATATGACAGTGGCCACAGGCTCTGAGGGTGTCACAGGCTCTGAAATTAGTGGCTCTGCCAGGCATCTGCCCACTTGCCTGCCTTTCTTGGGTTAATAGCCCAATATTTGTGGAATAAGGACATGCACCCTCTCTGAAAACCTCACAGTGTGTACAGACCAGAAGGCCACGTCCGGTATTCTGTGCCCACAGCATCACTGTGCGATGCGTCAGTGAGTATCTCACCCAGCGTTTTTCTGGAAGTCGATTTTTCAGTCCCGCTGATGTGGGATCAGACAGGACACACTGCTCTGCAACCTTTTTCTCTTTTGAGACAGGGTCTGACTCTGTCATCCAGGCTGATGCGCAGTGGCACAGTCACAGCTCACTGCAGCCTCAGCCTCCTGGGTTTAGGTCATTCTCTCACCTCAGCTCCCCCGGTAGCTGGGACCACAGGCACACTACACTGTGCCCAGCAAATTTTTGTGGCTGGCTGGTTGGTTGGTTTTTTTGTTTTTTTGTAAAAATGGAGTTTTACTGCTGCTCAGGCTGGTCTCAAATTCTTAGCCTCAAGGGATCTGCCCGCCTCAGCCTCCCAAAGTGCTGGGATTACAGGCATGAGCCACCTTGGCTGGCCTGCAATCTGCTTTTTAAAAATTTGTCCACATCCTCCCATATTAGTCAACTTGATCATTTTCATGGCTTCTAGCATCGCATTGTTAGGTGCAGTGTAATTAATTCAGCTAATCCCCTATTGATGGACAGCTGGGTTGTGTCTGACACTGCTGCAGTAACACACCCCTGCAGCAGTTCCCTCAGAAGCATATGTTGGCCCGTCTGCTCTAAGAGCTCCACAGGTGAATTCTGGAATGGGCTTGCTGGGAAAAGACAAATGACATCAGTGACACCAGCAGCTGACAATTCTTGTGGATTTGGAACGTGCTGGGCACCATGCTGTGTGCTTCACAGGCATCCTCTCATTGAATTCTTGTGCCTGGCCAGGCGCAGTGGCTCATGCCTGTAACGCTAGCACTTGGGGAGCTGAGGCAGAAGGGTGGCTTGAGCCCAGGATTTCAAGAACAGCCTGAGCAACACAACAAGACCCCATCTCTACAAAATTTTAAAAATTAGGCGAGCGTAGTGGCTCTCACTGGTAGTCCCAGCTACTGGGGAAGCTGAGGCGGGAGGATCACTTGAGTCCAGGAGTTCAAGGCTGCAGTGAGCTCTGATTGCCCCACTGCACTCCAGCCCGGGCAACAGAGCAAGATTTTGTCTCTAAGGGCAAAAAAGCAAGTCTTGTGACACACTGCAGGTGATGCTATTGTGAACTGCCCATGTACAGTAGTGAAGCATGGGTGGGTGCCTGGCGCCACCTCCCAGAAGTGTGTACCATTCCCACTCCCGCCAGCATGCTTGGCTTGCTTCTTTTGAAAGCACTTTCCCCATGAGGAGCTGTCCGGGCACCAAGAAACAACCTGGAAGCCGAGGCCATCTTCTGAATGTACTGCAGGAGCTGAGGACAGGGCTCTGTGAGAGAAATCTAACAGTCCCGCGTGCGCCCCACCTCACCTTGCCCTTCTCCCCGGTCCCCACCCCCAGGTGCGCCTGCATCGACGTCCGACATGCACAGAAGGCCTCTAGAAAGTGGACCCTGGAGATGGATGTGGCGCTTGTGCAGTACATCAACCAGCTATGCCGCCACCTTGCCATCACACCCGCACGGCTCCATCCCCATGAGGTGTACCTGGACCCCGCGGATGCTGCTGATCCCAGAGTGGCGTGTCTCCTGAGTATGTGGCCCTGTGCCTGTGCCCTCCCTGCTGCCTGCTGCCAGCATGCCCCATGACGGGGTGTTTAGAAGGGCTAGATTCATTTAGATGTCCATCAAACAAACACTTATGAACACCTGCTACACGCCAGGTGTGCAAGGAAGAGGGGGCTGATGAAGCAGGGAGAGAGAGGCAGGGAGCCAGGACTGTGGCCTAATTAGTCTGGGGCCTTTTTTAATGCCCATGACAACAAAGCCAGGTAGCAGATAAGGAAATGCACAGGCTTGGGGGGAATGCCCAGGTCCCTGCCTGAAGGCCCCACTGGGGACAGGCTGCCATGGGGCATGGGAAGTGTTTATAGTCTGATAACTTGTGGTAGAGATGTTAGCCTTCATAACAGGGAACACCATGTTTTTATTAAAAACTAGGATTGCGGCCGGGGCGGTGGCTCAAGCCTGTAATCCCAGCACTTTGGGAGGCCGAGGCGAGTGGATCACGAGGTCAAGAGATCGAGACCATCCTGGTCAACATGGTGAAACCCCGTCTCTACTAAAAATACAAAAATTCAGCTGGGCATGGTGGCGCATGCCTGTAATCCCAGCTACTCAGGAGGCTGAGGCAGGAGAATTGCCTGAACCCAGGAGGCGGAGGTTGCGGTGAGCCGAGATCGCGCCATTGCACTCCAGCCTGGGTAACAATAGCGAAACTCCGTCTCAAAAAAAAAAAAAAAACTAGGATTGCACACAAAAAATAAACTGTTAGTTCCCAGATGTCCCCCACTGACAACGTGTTGGCAGGCAGCTCAGTACACTCGTACCAGGCCCTTGCTCTCTCCTGGGTGCCAAGGAGGTAAAGGTGGGTGAGAGAGAGTGAAGAGTGAAGGGTTGAAGGGCAGCATGCCAGTGGCAGTTTTCCTGGTTTTGAGGTGATGTCGTCATTGGGGACACTGGGTGAAATGTACACAGGACTCTTTGTGCCATTTTTGCAACCGCCTATATCATTATTTCAAAAAATAATGACACAGGCATTTGCAAAAATGACATAAAGAACGATACCATGCACAGCCCTGGCATGGCCCTGAAGGTAGACGAGGGAGCCCTGGACTCCTTAAGAGCCAGCACCTCCAACTGGCCAGCCAGGGCCTCGCCCTTTGTGTCTGCTTGGCATAGGCACAGGCACCTCAGGGGCTGCTCACTCACTGACAGCATCCCCAGGGTCCCAAGTAAAAAATCCACCAATCCCCGTCCCAGTGATCGGGACCCCCTGTGTTGCCTATGAGTCAGGCATCTCAGCCGATCTGGGCCGAGATCTCAGCCTGACTGCTGCCATGCCCTGCAGATGTGCCCATTGAGAGCCTGCGCCTGCGCTTTGCCCTGCTGCAGTCCCTCAACACCACGCTGGAGACCTTCTTCCTGCCCCTGGTGGAGCTGCGCCAGACACCCATGTACACCCACAGCATCGCCGCCCTCCTGAAGGAGGCCAAAGGTCAGTGCCTACGCCTGCCCTGGCCCTGCAGGAAGAGAGAGGTGACCTGCAACATGCCAGGGCCAGAATCCATGGGCAGGATCCTTGGGCAGCTCCCCAGGAGACGCTTCCCTCCAGTCTTTCATCTAGCAGGCAGGGCTCCTCTCGAGCAATAGGTCCACCCAAGGGAAGTTACTTCAATTATAAAAGTAGCATATGCTCTGAAAAATCACATTATTTTAAGGTTTTTAAATTAATTCAAAATATATGAAGGTCTGTTCACTATCTGGCCTCCAAATCCCTACATGCCAGAGGTGACATTGTTAACAGATGAGTATCTATCCTTCCAGACTTTTCTCTTCACGTACAAATAGATGCATGTGCACACACACAGCTTGTTGTCTTTTTTTAAAATTAAAAGTAGGTATCATTTTCCACATTCTGTTTAGCAACTCTAGCTTGTCGTATTGTTTCTAGAAATCGGGTGTCTCCTGGGAATGACAAAGGATAAATGCACCTAGCCGCTGGGTGGAGGCTGACACACCGCCCTCCACCATCAGGACCCTGCTGCGCTGCCACCAGGGACCCTGAGAGTGCTACAGCTAGGGACTGAAGAGAGTTCTAGGGGGACTGGGAGGGAAGGGACGCAGCCCCACCCAGTTCTCTCCCACGTTCCTCTCCTTAGGGCTGATCTTCTACGACACAAAGGTGACAGTGATGAATCGAGTGCTGAACGCCACTGTGCAGCGGACAGCGGACCATGCAGCGCCTGAGATCACCTTGGACCCGCTGGAAATTGTGGGAGGTGGGGTTGGCTGCAGAGACCAAAAAAATGCAAAATAGCAGTGCCTAAACACACTAGCAGATTTCTGGAACCCAAAAGAAGCTTCTAGAAGAAGGGGGTTCAGGGCTGGTGCTGTGGTTCTTCCTGTTGTTCTGCTGGAGCATCCCGGTGTGTGGCTTCCTGCTGGAAGGTCCCCTCAGGAGCTCATTCCAGGCAGCAGGGGAAGGGGCATAGCAGAAGGAGCTTGGCTTCCTGGGGCCCACCAGCTGCACAGGGTCAGGTAGGGCAAGCTTTGCTCTGATCAGCCATGTGCCTGCCAAAAATGAGGAAAAGGGCATTGTGGGGAGGCTCCCTAGTATCTCTGTCACAGCATATAGACAGACAGAAGGGAAACATGCAGAAGAAATGAGAGAGGAGTTGGGCGGCAGGTGGGGGGCAGCGAGGACCTCCCTGAGAGGCAGATGGAAGCCTCTAGAAGATCAGAAGGGGCCAAGCACTGGGAGCCCAGGGGAGTGGGTCCAGCAGAGGGAGCCACGAGTGCTAAGACACAAAAGGCTCTAAGGTGTTCTAAGGACAGAGAAGGTACCGGAGACTGAGCGAGGGAGTGGAGCTCCCAGGACAGGCACAGTGCTGCTAGGCCCGGAAGGAGCCTAGCACAGGGGAAGGGCAGAGGGCAGCCACGGAGGGGTGCTTTGATCAACTCATCTCACTTTTCAGGGGAAATCAGAGCTTCTGAAAACTCCTACTTCTGCCAGGCTGCCCGGCAGCTGGCCTCGGTGCCATCGTCTCAGCTCTGCGTCAAACTGGCCAGCGGCGGTGACCCCACATATGCCTTTAACATCCGCTTCACTGGGGAGGAGGTCCACGGCACCAGTAAGTGGCGGCCTGCTGGGCTCCCCGCTGGAGGAGGTGTGTTTAGTGTCCATCCTTACTCCCCGCTGCCCAAGACCCCAGTTTCCAAGAGTAAAAGCCATGTCCTCAGCACCTGCTCTGCAGAAGCCAGGTCTAAACCCAGAGTGGCCTCATGCCCGCGTCCTCCAGACCAGCCCCGTGTGGGAGCCTCAGCCAGTCCCTCCTGGGCTTGGGGATGGCGCTTCTGCTCGGGGCACCCTCCGTGCTGATTGGCAGGGTGTTGGGGAGCCCTTGGTTAAGATGGCACCTGGTGTCATCGCAATCTGCAGGGATGAGGACTGGCAGCTGAGCGTGTGCTCCCTCATGACCCTCTCCGGCTTCACCCCAGACATTCAGGACATGTTTCCACTGCGGATGGAGCAGAAACCCTGTTTCTCCGCAGCTGGTACACTGCAGGAAAGGCTATCTGGGCAGGAGGGAGCTCCCACCCAGCTCCTTCTCCTCTTTCCTCTGATCTACCCCACGGGAACGCAGCTGCCTCCCACACGGGGGACCTGGCATCCTATGGGCAGGCCTCCCAGGCCTCTCTTAGAACAGCTCTGGTTCACTGAAAGCCCAGGCTCACGCTCAACACCTCATCCTCCCCACAGCAGCAAACCTGCCCACAGCACCAGCCCTGACCCATCCTACACATAGGGAGACTGGGACTCCATAAAGCCAAGTCACTTCCCAAGGTCAGGCGGCCAACTGGGGTTCCAGAGTCCAGCCAGCCCCCTGGCCTTCCAGGAGTCGGTGGTCAGGACTCGCCTGCTTCTCCTTGAAGCAGAGGTGAGGGCCAGGCCTGCCATCTGCCCCTGCACTGGGCCCCCACACTGGGTTTTCACATGGTTCTGACCAAGCAGGGTATGGGCACAGGGTATGGGCACAGCTGTGCTCAGAGCTCCCTGACCTTAGTGTACCGATAGAACACACAGGGAAGGGCAGGGGAGAAGATTTGCAAGGAAACCGAAGGCTCGTCTTGAATGGCGGCAGGAGAGGAATTGAGCAGTTACCACTGCCCTTTGCATGTTCACACATTTGTCCATTCCTTATGCATTCGTTGGACAAACATGAGCCTGGGCAGTGGGGGAGGCAGTGCTGAGTGAAACAGGTGGCCCTGCCCTCACCCTGGCCTAGGGGGACAGACATGGACCAAACAAGGCCACAACTCAGGCAGGCTTGCAGCTGTGAGAGGTAGCCTGCGTGAGGACCTGCAGTGACCTCACTGAATCCTCAAATGGCCTGTGGGATAGGTACAGTCACTCTCCCATTTGACAAATGGGAGACTGAGCCTCTGGGACATCTTTCCCTCCATGGTATCCCTGGGTGGCCCTGCTAGTGAGTGAAGAGCAGGATTGGACTGAGGCCTCCCAGGCCTGGGACAGCTTCTTCCCACCCACCACAGCAGCACACAGGCTGTGGAAGGAGTGGCTGGCTGCTCCGGCCAGCAGGTGAGAGGGAGGGAATGGTGCCGCCTCCCCCTGAGACACCCGTGGTGCCCATGTGTCTCGTCTGTCCTGCAGGCGGCTCTTTCCGGCACTTCCTGTGGCAGGTGTGTAAGGAGCTGCAGAGCTCCTCACTGTCGCTGCTGCTGCTATGCCCCAGCTCAGCTGTCAATAAGAACAAGGTAGGCGAAGCCCGGGCGGAGGCCCCATGCCCCTGAGCTCAGGTCCCAGCACAGTGGCTGAGGGTGGCAGGGTGGTGTGTGTCTCATCACAGCTAAACATTTTCAGAAACCCTCCCAGTCTGTGGGGACAGGTTCATGCCACACTGGCTGGGCAAGCTCTGGGAGCTTGCAATGACTTCTCTCCTGCCTGCCACAGGGTGTGTTGGCCTGAAACGCATGTTTCCCGGTGGGCACAGAGGCCCACGCCCAGGTCACCTCATGTTCACCTCTACTTCCAGGGCAAGTATATCCTGACCCCAAGCCCCATCACCTATGGGGAGGAGCAGCTGCTGCACTTCCTGGGGCAGCTGCTGGGGATTGCGATTCGGGCAGACGTCCCGCTGCCCCTGGACCTCCTGCCTTCCTTCTGGAAGACGCTGGTGGGTGAGCCTCTGGACCCTGAACAAGACCTGCAGGAAGCAGACATCCTCACCTACAATTACGTCAAGAAGTTTGAGAGTGTGAGTGCAAGGCACAATTCTCCTGGGGGGCCTCCCCATCACCTCGCTTAGGCCTCCATGCAGACCTGAGCTCCCTGCTAAGGCTGGGTTGGGATTCCCCCAGAGGACCTTAGCGGTGTGAGCCATCTGCCGGGAAGATGTGTCTCATGAAGGACAGAGGCCTCTGGCCTCTCTCCCTGCTGGCAGCAGAGACTGGAGGTGACATGACCAGCCCTGCTGGCCCTCCCACATTGGTGCCCGTCGCCTGGCCATGGGCAGGGGCTCCTGGATCTGAGTGAACAGGCCCTGGGGGAATGGCAGTAGTGTGCAGGTTAAGAGTTCTTTCAGAGCCTCAGAGTGCAGGAGTCAGCCCTAGGACCATCTGGGTTCAACCAAGTGGGAGGCATCAGGGTGGAGCCCTTCCTGCCTGTCCAGGGCACGCTTAGGCCATGCACAGATGTTGAGAGCGTGGTGCTGTCTGCCCATCACCCCCCTAGAGGGGGATAGGGTCCACAGTCCCTCTGTTCACTCAGCAGCCATCACTGAGGCCCTGTCATGGGCCAGCCAGGCTCTGGACTCTTGTCCTGTCCTCAGGGAGTGTCCAGGCTTGTCTCCTGTGTGATGGAGGGCAGAGGGCTTTATTCCATCATCACAAGGCCAGGAGGAAAATGAGGCTAATAAGGGAAGTGACTTGCCCCGGCCCTCAGAGCTAGCAGGGAGCAGAGCCACCGGGAGCCCAGGGCTGCCTGCTCTGACTCCCAGGCTCTCCAGCACCACGCACCATGCACTCCATTCTGGCTGAGTATGGAGAGCGACCTCCCACCCAGTGCCCCTCAAGGCCACAAGAGTGGACATCGTGCTTGAGGCCTGGCAAAGGCAGCTCTCTCCTGGGCCTCTGGTGAAGGAGGTGCCAGCTGCTTCTGCCTTTGCCGGCAGAATACTCCATTGCCGACTGAGGTACTGCCTGTTCAGGTCTCTGCCATTGTCCCTTGCATCACTCAGGGCAGCCAATGCAAGACAATAGCAGAGCCAGAGTCCTGGATGCCAGTGGCTTCTCAATAGAAACAGGGATGATGATGCATTATCTAAAGGGTGGAAGAACACCCACAGTGGACTAGGGGTTTATGCGTCTCCTGCACTCCTCCAAGGAGTCCTCCTGGGGCTCTGGGGGACAGTGCAGGCTGGGGCAGCAGGGGATGTGAGGCAGGGTCCCAGTGGACAGGCCAGCTGAGGTTTCTGGCTACAGGAATGGCCGGGGCCCCAGAGGGTGTGGGGTGCAGAACCACATGGTATAGGGGTTGTGTACCAGGAAGAAAATGCTCTCGACTTCTGTCGGTGGAGTGTCTGCGGCGGAGAGGTAGGGAAGTTGCTACAAAGGAGATTCCAGGCTTAGACCCAAATGCCCACCTGTCACTGTCCCCGAGCTGCAGACTCCTTTGGGTCCAACCCTGTCATCTCCCCGGTAGCCCCACAAGCACAGTGCGAATCAGTTTCCCCTAGACCCTGATCCCGGTTGCCAGATGAGGAGAGGGAGTACCCTGTACATCTCCACAGACAGGACAAAGAGGGCTGTCTGGTGGCAAAGGACAAAAATCCCAACTCCAATCAGCTTTAGAAAAAATTATTTAAAATTATTTGCTCTTAAAAACCATGATGGGTTTGACTTCGGGCAGGGCCAAATCCAGGTGTCATCTGGTATTGGTCTTCAAACCAATATTGGTGTCCAAACAGTATATCATCTGTTATTGGTCTCAGGCCTCTGATCCAGATTGCTTAAAAAAAAAAAAAAAGAAAAAAAGAAAAAAAAAGAAAAAGTCCAGGCATGAAGGCTCACACCTGTAACTCCAACGCTTTGGGAGGCCGAGATGGGCAGATAATCTGAGGTCAGGAGTTCAAGACCAGCCTGGCCAGCATGGTGAAACCCCATCCCTACTACAAAATATAAAATGTAGCTGGTGTGGTACACACTTGTAGTCCCAGCTGCTCGGGAGGCTGAGGCAGGAGAATCGCTTGAACCCAAGAGGTGGAGTGAGCAAAGATCATGCCACTGCACTCTAGTCTGGGCAACAAGAGTGAAACTCCATCCAAAAAAAAAAAAAACAAAGCATAATTAGTCTCAGGCAGTCCTTCCAAGCACGTGGGCAGAGGTGGCCTCCTGCAGTAAAGGGTTTCCCATCATACAGTCGGTCCATGCCAGTGAAAGAGGACCACTGCCTCCAAACAGTCATGGGAAAAGGCCTGGAATTTGGGTCTCATTAGCACGGTCTAGGTCACACACCCCGGCCCTGAACTAATGGCAGGTTCTGATTGGCCAAACCTGTGTCACGTGCCCATCCACACAACCAAGGGTAGACCCCACCAGCTGCGCCTCGGGTTTGCCCAGCCACCTCTGGAGATCAGGGTTCCACCTCCCAGCATCTCATAATGAGCCTCTCTCTGCCTCCACCCTCCAGATCAATGACGAGACTGAGCTGGAGGCCCTGTGCGCCGAGATTGCCTCCCAGCACCTGGCCACCGAGAGCCCTGACAGTCCCAACAAGCCCTGCTGCAGGTTCACCTACCTGACCATGACGGGCGAGGAGGTGGAGCTGTGCAGCCGGGGCCGGCACATCCTTGTGGCGTGAGTGTGTGCGCATGGCGGGAGCTGGCCCAGCCAGCCAGCCAGGGTGTGACAGCAGCATCTGTTCCTGGGCAATGGCACAAGGACCTAGGTCAGGTGACAGGTGGATTTCACCAGAGGAGGGAGATGAGGCAGGATGGTGGGTGCCAAGGAAGAGGGTCCTCAGCAAAAGGAGCTTACTAAGAAAACAGCAACTCTGAGGTGGCGACACCAGAGGCAGGAGAGGACTGGGACGACCAGGGGAGCTGGGCCTAGGCCTCTCCTGAGGGAATCCGGGACCTCTGGCTGAGTGGGTGTGGTCCCCCAGACCCAGCCTCTTTGGCAGCATTCTCCCTCACCTGTGCCCCTCACCCGGGCAGGTGGGAGAATAAGGACATCTACGCGTCAGCCATCCGGAGCCTGCGGCTTCGGGAGCTGCAGAACGCAGAGTGCGTGACAGCTGTGCGGGCTGGCCTGGGCTCCATCATCCCCCTGCAGCTGCTAACCACGCTCAGCCCGCTGGAGATGGAGCTGCGCACCTGCGGCCTCCCCTACATCAACCTGGAGTTCCTCAAGGTAGGTGCCCCAGGCCTGCCTCCCTGGTACCCTCAGCTCCTGCAGCAGACATCAGCAGTGGCTGGTCTCAGCTCTGTCCTTGCCACAGACCTGTATCATCATCTCCCTGTGCTCACAGCTCACACGCTGCACTCTGCCCCAGGATTGGCCCCAGCCTACAGACCCCAGGGCTGGGGAGGCACTGGGTAGGTGGGGCTCTGGGGCTCCTGACACCTGGACCTCTCCTCCCCAGGCCCACACCATGTACCAGGTGGGGCTGATGGAGACAGACCAACACATCGAGTTCTTCTGGGGGGCCCTGGAGATGTTCACTCAGGAGGAGCTGTGCAAGTTCATCAAGTTCGCCTGCAACCAGGAGCGCATCCCGTTCACCTGCCCCTGCAAAGATGGGGGCCCCGACACCGCCCACGTGCCTCCATACCCCATGAAGATCGCCCCCCCAGATGGCACAGCAGGTACTGCCCTCCCCTGGCTATATCCCAAGTGGGGACACACTGGCCCTACTCTGTTTGGAACTGGGGCTGCCAGGCCCCACGTGAAGGGAGAACAGTGAACAGGAGCCCCACGTGCCAAAACCCAGCCCTCAGCGAGGATTTGGGTCGGGCAGGACCCAGCCATCCAGGCCTGCAGTTAGGTACCTTCTCATATGCTTCAAATCTTTCAACTTTTAAATGCAGAAAGATGGTGAAAAAAAAACAACGCCAATAATTTGCTGGGCAGACATACCCATCAGCAGTTTGGCACATGCGCCGTCCAGCAGCTGTCTCCCCTTTTCCCCTCCAAGAACTTCTCCCAGGTTCCCAGGCCCTCATCCCCCTCCTGCTGGGCCCCAGGATTGGCTTGAAGCTACCCAAGGAGGCAAACCTGTAAGTGGGGCCAGCCCAGCCTCCCTGGGAGCCTCCCAGCCGTGGGCCCAGCCCTCTGACCTTGGCTTGGTTTCTTGTAGGTTCCCCAGACTCTCGCTACATCCGTGTGGAGACCTGCATGTTCATGATCAAGCTTCCCCAGTACTCCTCTCTGGAAATCATGCTGGAGAAACTTCGTTGTGCCATTCACTACCGCGAAGACCCCCTCAGTGGCTGACGGGAGGGAGCTCCAGAGTTAGGCTGTCACTGAGACACCCGCTCTGCTGGCTTGGGAAGCCCGCCACTGCAGCCCGTCCCTCCAGGGCCCTGCGTGAGGAGGTGGCAACATTTTGCTTTTCCGAACTTTCGTCCACATTCCAGGGCCTCCTGGAAGACTTAACCTTTTGTCTTTGTACGTTTTGTGATGGGTTGGTTCTTTTGCTGCCTGTTTGTGGTCTATTTGTAGGATAGTTTAGTTCCCTGACAGTTTGTGTCTAATTTGATCTTCCTGGACATTGTCCCGCGTGGCCACCAGATTCTGATGCCATAAGGCCCCAGCTGGTTCCTCATCACAGAACCACCCGGCAGGAAGCCAGGGGTGCAATGGCCTCAGCCACACAGAGCATCCGTGCTTTTAGCAGAACATCTCCACAGATAAGCCTGTGGCCAGCCCTGCCCCCCGGCCTCGAGCTGGAGTTACTCCCGAGGCAGCCCCGGCAGGCCTCCATCCACCTAGAGGTGGCTGGGCCAGTTGCCCAAACACGTCAGACACACAGGGAGCTTTATGTGTTCATCTTACTGCTTTAGAACTTGCTCCCGATCTTGGTTTTTCTGAGGAAAAGCCCACAGTGGTTCTCCCATGCCCCTCCCACACACGCCCCCTATCTGCCGTCTGTCTCTTCCGGGCCCTGCCTGGTCTGATAGTTTTCATCTGAGGCCTCCTCGGGAACAGGAGACGCAAGGGTTCATCCCAACCTTAGTTCACAGAACCTGGCTGGGTGCATTCCAGCTGCAGGGGGTGAGAAGACACCCAGAGGTGGGGGACAGTGCTCAGGTGGGGGCCTCCTCCAAGACTCTGGTTGAAGAGGAAAACACATGATTCAAGCCTACCCCACAAAAAAGGAGCACAAACCACTCAGAAATGGCCCTTCCTTCCTGCAGTGACTCGGGAACAAGGGAAAGGGCCGCATCTCCGTTTTCAAAAGTGTGGCCTGAGGTGCTCTGCTCAATTCGGGGTCTGCTTTAGTGACCCAGACACTCAAGTCCAGATGGAGACTCCAGTGGGGTCCTTCCGTCCCTCTGGCCAGCCCTGGCCAGCACCCCCATCACCCCATGTGTATGTGTGTGCCAGGGCTGAGCTGCCCCCAGGCTCACCCACTGCCCCAGTGCATCTGTGCCCCCAATAGGTCTTTGTCCAATGGTACTCTGTTCATGAGCAGCACAGGCCATCTTGTTGGACACTGTCACTTTGGACCTTGCCAGCTCTCACAGAATCGCATCGTTGTATTTATTGTATAATATTGTGAATATTGGAAGTTCTGAATGAGTGCTGTCTAGAAGGTTTTGGAGTGTGGATGCTGGTCCAAGAAAGATGTGCCCTGGCCTGCTGGAAAGATTGTGAGTTCTAGAGATAGAGCCGTTAGCATCCATTTCCTCCTTGTAACTAACTCTTAGGAAATGCATCAAGGACCATTATAGAAAGGATCCCCTGACCTAAGGACGAGATAGACCTAGGGTTAATCGTGACAGCTGCATCAGTTATATTTGATGTAAGTCACCTCTGGAGGTGAGCACCCGCAAGCAGTCCCCCTGCTTTGAAAGAAGATGGTCAGCCCGCTGCTCCCCCCAGCGGCCACAGCTCCCTTGAGTGTGGAGGTCACATCCAGGATGTATTCCTGACAACAAGGATCCTCTTACTTTCATTTCTGCTTACATGAAAGAGCCTTTGGATTTATTAGAAGTGGTTTTTTCCTCCCTGTACCTTTAAATTCTTGGTTCCCTCCAGTCCTCATCCCTTGAATGGACTTGTCAGCTACCTCCCCAGGAGGGGTTCAGAAGCTTCTGTTGGCCATCACTTGAGTAGATGACAGCTGTGAGGTATCTGCTGCTAACATGGCTGCTTCTCCGAGAGCACATTGAGGTCCAGACAGATCCAAACCTTGGCCCTAAAATATGTGTGCTGTAAAGTTACTTGATGTATATTTATTATAATTATTTATGGTTGCATTTAACAAACTTTTCATTCAATCTGATGCTATTTACACCATGCTGTGTAAAAGAAGCTCACTAAAGGAAAAAGTCACACCAATAAATAACCTTCATCTAATTTTGATTTACCTTAAGAGTTGTGTGATCATCTACTCTTGCTGAGCAAGTTTAAAGGCTGGCATGCTTGGATGGCTCTGATATTTAAGTGCTGCCAAGTGGCTAGGCATTAAAGTGTTTCTAATTATTATGGTCTCTTGGCATTTGACGTGATTCTTACTATGTAAGGCTTTTAAACTACCCTTCCCCCCCAACCTGACTCCTGAGTCTGTGCATTCCACGTAGAAATTACGAAGACAGGAGACGCCAAGGTCAAAGCTAAACCTAACCCCACATGCCCTGCCCACTTTTTGTCCTGGCAGCTGGTCTATGCGCTTGGGCCTGGTGTGGCCATTTTCCTCAAGTAGATCGTTACCCTGGCAGTCTGGGCCCCTATTAGACACATCTCCTTTGGGAGCAGGCAGGGGATGTAGACCCACCTTGTGCAGATGGGAAATACAGTAAAGAGGTGAGGACTTGCTTAGTCCTGCTGTCCATGATCAACACTCAGCTCTTTGCACAGCTGCCTCCCCCACCAGGGAGCTCAGGTTGGCTATACTCTGGATAATCTCAGTTCTCTGTGACCTGCTTGTCCCTTCCTGTTCCATGGTAGTTCTCACCCAGAGCCACTTTATTCTCATTCTCTCAGCTCCACCTTTCTTGTACTTCATAAACGCTAACTTTGGAAGAGTGGCTGGCAAGATGGTGGGATAGGAATACCTCCAATCTGCAGCTCCCAGCGAGATCAATGCAGAAGGTGGGTGATTTCTGCATTTCCAACTGAGGTACCTGGCTTATCACTGGGACTGGTTAGACAATGGGTGCAGCCCACGGAAGGTGAGCTGAAGCAGGGTGGGGCGTCACCTTACCCGGGAAGCGCAAGGGGATGGGGAACTCCTTCCCCTAGCCAAGGGAAGCCACAAGGGAGTATGCTGGGAGGAATGGTGCACTCCAGCCCAGATACTATGCTTTTCCCTTGGTCTTCGCAACATGCACACCAGGAGACTCCCTTGGGTGCCTACGCTACCAGGGCCCTGGGTTTCCAGCAATAAACTGGGTGACCATTTGGGCAGACTATCGAGCTAGCTGCAGGAGTTTTTTTTCATACCCCAGTGGTGCCTGGAACACCAGTGAGACAGAACTGTTCACTCCCCTGGAAAGGGTGTTGAAGCCAGGGAACCAAGTGGTCTAGCTCAGCAAATCCCACCCCCATGGAGCCCAGCAAGCTAGGATCCACTGGCTTGAAATTCTCACTGCCAGCACAGCAGTCTGAAATTGACCGGGGGATGCTTGAGCTTGGTGAGGGGAGGAGTGTCTGCCATTACTGAGGCTTGAGTAGGCAATTTTCCCCTCACGGTGTAAACAAAGCTACAGGGAAGTCTGAACTGGGCGAAAGCCACTGCAGCTCAGTAAAGCTGCTGTAGCTAGATTCCTCCTGTCCGGAGAGGACATCTCTGAAAGAAAGGCAGCAGCCCCAGTCGGGGGCTTACAGATAAAACTCTCATCTTCCTGGGACAGAGCACCTGGGGGAAGGGGCAGCTGTGGGCACAGCTTCAGCAGACTTAAAATATTCCTGCCTGCTGGCTCTGAAGAGAGCAGCAAATCTCCCAGCACAACGCTTGAGCTCTGCTAAGGGACAGACTGCCTCCTCAAGCAGGTCCCTGACCCCATGCCAGGTCAACAAACACCTAATACAGAAGAGTTCCAGCTGGGATCTGGTGGATGCTCTTCTGAGACGAAGCTTCCAGAGGAAGGAACAGGCAGCAATCTTTGCTGTTCTGCAGACTCCACTAGTGATACCTAGACAAACAGGGTCTGGAGTGGAGCTCCAGCAAACTCCAGCAGAGGGGCCTGTTAGAAGGAAAACTAACAGAAAGGAATACCATCAACATCAACAAAAAGCACATCCACACAGAAACCCCATCCAAAGGTCACCAACATCAAAGACCAAAGGCAGATAAATCCACGAAGATGAGGAAAAACCAGCATAAAAAGGCTGAAAATTCTAAAGACCGGAACACCTCTTCTCCTCCAAAGGATCACAACGCCTCGCCAGCAAGGGAACAAAACTGGATGGAGAATAAGTTTGATTACTCGACAGAAGTAGGCTTCAGAAGGTGGGTAATAACGGACTCCACCAAGCTAAAGGAGCATGTTCTAAACCAATGCAAGGAAGCTAAAAACCTTGAAAAAACGTTAGAGGAATTGCTATCTAGAATAACCAGTTTAGAGAAGAACATAAATGACCTGATGGAGCTGAAAAACACAGCACAAGAACTTCATGAAGCATACAAAAGTATCAATAGCCGAATTGATCAAGCAGAATAAAAGATATCAGAGATTGAAGATCAACTTAATAAAGTGTGAAGACAAGATTAGAGAAAAAAAGAATGAAAAGGAACAAACAAAGCCTCCAAGAAATATGGAACTATGTGAAAAGACCAAACCTATATTTGATTGGTGTACCTGAAAGTGACGGGGAGAACAGAAGCAAGTTGGAAAACACTCTTCAGTATATTACCCAGGAGAACTTCCCCAACCTAGCAAGACAGGCCAACATTCAAATTCAGAAAATCTAGAGAGCACCACAAGGATACTTCTCGAGAAGAGCAACCCTAAGACACAATGAGCAGATTCACCAAAGTTGAAATGAAGGAAAAAAATGTTAAGGGCAGTAGGAGAGGTCAGGTTACCCACAAAGGGAAGCCCATCAGACTAACAGCAGATATCTCTGCAGAAAACCCTACAAGCCAGAAGACAGTGGCAGCCAATATTCGATATTCTTAAAAGAATTTTCAACCCAGAATTCCATATCCAGCCAAACTAAGCTTCATAAGCAAAGGAGAAATAAAATCCTTTACAGACAAGCAAATGCTGAGAGATTCTGTCACCACCAGGTCTACCTTACAAGAGCTCCTAAAGGAAGCACTAAATATGGAAAGGAACAACCAGTACCAGCCACTGCAAAAACATAACCAAATTGTAAAGACCAGTGACACTATAAAGAAACTGCATCAACTAATGGGCAAATTAACCAGCTACCATTATAAGGACAGGATCAAATTCACACATAACAATATTAACCTTAAATGTAAACAGGCTAAATGCCTCAATTAAAAGACACAGACTGGCAAATTGGATAGAGTCAAGACCTATTGGTGTGCTGTATTCAGAAGACCCATCTCACGTGCAAAGACATTCATAAACTCAAAGGGTTAGAGGAATATTTACCAAGCAAATGTAAAGCAAAAAAAAAAAAAAAAGCAGGAGTTGCAATCCTAGTCTCTGATAGAACAGACTTTAAACCAACAAAGATCAAAAAAGACAAAGACGGGCATTACATAATGGTAAAGGGATCAATGCAACGAGAAGAGCTAACTAACTCTCCTAAATATATATGCACCCAATACAGGAGCACCCAGATTCATAAAGCAAGTTCTCAGAGAACTACAAAGAGACTTTGACAGAAAATTAACAAGGATATTCAGGACTTGAACTCAGCTCTGGACCAAGTAGACCTAATTGACATCTATAAAACTCTCTACCCCAGATCAACAGACTATACATTCTTCTCGGCACCACATCACACTTATTCTAAAACTGACCACATAATTGGAAGTAAAACACTCTTCAGCAAATGCAAAAGAACAGAAATCATAACAGTCTCTCAGACCACAGTGCAATCAAATTAGAACTCAGGATTAAGAAACTCACTGAAAACCTTACAACTACATGGAAACTGAAAATCCTGCTCCTGAATGACTACTGGATAAATAATTAAGGCACAAATAAGTTATCTGAAACAAGTAAGAATTAAGATACAACATACCAGAATCTCTGGGACACACCTAAAGCAGCGTTTAGAGAGAAATTTATAGTACTAAATGCCCACAGGAGAAAGCCGAAAGATCTAAAATCAACACCTAATAACATCACTATGAAAAGAACTAGAGAAGCAAGAGCAAACAAATTCAAAAGCTAGCAGAAAACAAGAAACAACTTCCACAATTGCTACAAAGATCAGAGCAGAACTGAAGGAGACATGAAAAACTCTTCAAAAAAATCAGTGAATCCAGGAGCCTGTTTTTTTTGAAAAGATTAACAAAATAGACTGCTAGCCAGACTAATAAAAAAGAAGAGAGAGAAGAATCAAATAGACACAATAAAAAATGATAAAGGGGGCTAGGCGCAGTGGCTTGCGCCTGTAATCCCAACACTTTGGGAGGCTGAAGCAGGTGGATCACGAGGTCAGGAGTTCAAGACCAGCCTGGCCAACATGGTGAAACCCTGTCTCTACTAAAAATACAAAAATTAGCTGGGCATGGTGACACATGGCTGTAATCCCAGCTACTTGGGAGGCTGAGGCAGGAGAACTGCTTGAACTGGTACCCAAGAGGTGGAGGGTGCAGTGAGGCAAGATGGCACCACTGCACTCCAGCCTGGGCTACAGAGCAAGACTCCATCTCAAAA